TGAGGCACCTTGAGACACCTTGAGATCTCCCTGAATCTTTCCAGACTAAAGAATATAGCTTGAAAGCAGTAGAACACTAATTTTCTACCTGTGGTGCATAGATTCCTGGATGAGGTCATACATGACCTTTGATAGCTAATAATGTAGATTGGGTAGATTGTCATGTGGCAAATATGAACTATGTAAAATGTCTGAAAGCTGTGCATCTCCTTTAGAATTTCTTCAGGGATTCACAGTTTAAAAAAAGGTAGACAATTAATCCGTAAGGAGTTCCTTACAAAATGTCTAGGCGTGTGACCAAGGAAAAGGGAGCTGGTCTAGCAGCTCACTAAGACCTAAGACTAAAATTTAAGTGATTTTAATTCAGTTGTCTGCTCTATCAATCACAGCTTTCCTCTATAATTTTAGTAAAACACTGCACTCTTCCCTCTGCATTGATACAGATTTACCGGTAGCATCTAATCAAACGCTCCAACATCTCTGTGAAAGAGGCAAGGATTAGCATTCCTGCTCTACAAATAAGGAAAGCACAAAGCTATGAAATGTGTTGCCCAAAGCCATATGAGACATTTGCATGAGAGCTGGGCAGAGGACTCACTTGGTTATGTTGTTGGTTTTCCTTTCTTTAACAAACAATCATTGTTTCATGCCAATGGATTTTAAAAATAAGAAGCGAAAGGCAATGAGATTATGAATGAGATAATGATTTAAATAATCTTTAAGTGTAAGGGAAACAAGAATAGTTGTAAGGAAGCCTCCCCTCCTAAGGAAGGTGCAGCTCTTCCAAGCACACCTGGCATAGTTCTTCTTCATCCCAGTTTTGTAGTGCTTTATTGCTTTCTGTGAGATACCCCATGTTTTAGAGTGGTGCATGCATTGAGCTTGAGATCATTGCTCATAGACCAGACTGATTCGACACCGTGGGCTGAATTCAGTGGGATGTCCCTGAGCACTGGGTTGGGTGAAAGTAGGTCAGGCCATTTTCTGTTAGTAGATTTGATGGGAAACAAATCTATTCTGAATTCTTTCTATTCTGAATTCTTTCTATTCTGAATTCTTTCTGTGCATCCTTGCTGTTGTGGCCTGAAAACAGATCCTTACATAATGTGTTTTCAGAGCTGTGCCTCCAGAGTCATAAGCAGAGCAGTGCAGGCTGCATACCTCTTCTCTCCTCATCAGAGATGTGACCTGCAGAGTGGCATCTTACTCTCACCCACATTGGCTTCCTGTGTGCCTTGAAGGTTGTATTTGCTTTGTCTACTGAAAAAACACATTTTTACTACTGACAGCACTCCAGAACCAATAAAGCTGAGGCGAAGGGAGTTGTTTTCTCCTCTGTTTTATGCCAGTAGAGTGACCAGCTAAGGCCCCTATGAGCTGCTGGCCTCTCTCCCTACCCCAGGAAGGGCTGGCATCATACACAGACCCTGGATCAGGCCCTTTACCTCCAGGTTTCATTTACTGCTGTTCTCAGCAAATCCTGAAATAAATCAGTTTGATGGGAATCCAAATCTTTTTTCCCTCCGACCCAGAGGCTTCTGGCAGAGCTGTTACTGGCAGCTCTTCCCCAGTCCTGCTATCAGCCACTCCACCAAGAAATTCTTGGGCCACAAGTGACTTCTGTCACTTCTGCATCCCTCGAGCTTTCATGGCCTTGCCAGGAGCCTGGTGCACCCGAGGCAGACGCCTGCACTTGAGGAATTACCGAACCCCAGCCTGCTCCGCTCAGAACAAATCTCTGTACCTTAAAGAGGCAGGCCATCTGAACCAGCCTCATTCCAGAAAACATTTCCTCCTGCAGGTAACTCAGTTCAGGAGAGAGCGGTCTTTGAGTGCTTGCTTAGGATCACAGTTTTGAATGTAGAATCTTAAACACACAGCTGGCATGAAATAGACAGGACATAGGCCTTACAGGCTTTATCTTTAGACTTAGAGACTGGTAGGTAGTTAAAGAATTGTTTTCAAATACCAGTTGAGTAAAACTGAATTTATTATTAAGAAATACAGGACATTAGGTGTAACTTCTGAATTTTTGCTTTCTGTTCGAAACACTATTATTTTAACCTAGTATTGTTATTTGTGCCTTTGTGTTTAAACAAGGTGGTTTAAAAGTCAATTCAAAAATATTTGCAGCGACTCTCAGGTGACTTACTGGCTGGAGGTAGGAACACAGTGAGGAAAGAGAGAGAAAGAGACAGACAGGCACCCCCAAAAAACCATTAACACCTTGCTAGGATTCGTCAGCCATCCTCACAACTGCTCCCTCCTGCAACTAGTCACGTCAACCCTTCCCAGAACCAGTGGATCAGCCGATGAGCTTTAAGTGCGGGCTTAGCTCCTGCGTGTCAAGAAACACTTTGTCCTGCAAGGTGGGCAAAAATATGGAGTGTGTATGAATAAAGGAGGGATGAGTAAACCCTCCCCAGCTCAGCTCAGTGACAGAGGAACAGCTTCTATAGGCTAAATCCCAGGAGGCAGGAGCGGAACCGTGGCATGAACAGGCCAGGAACTCAGTGAGAACCTGAGCCAGAAGCAGCTTGTGTCTGTGCTCACTCACTGGCTCTGTGCAGACCTTAGCATCTCCATGTCCTACTCATATTCAGGTCAGCATCAGTCATATCCATTTAAGTCCTAAATTCAGCAGAATGTCTGTCTTCCATTCCTGATAAGCTTCTACTCCTTGAATTTTGGGGAATTTTATTTTGAAAGATAAGAGGTGTGGCTTCTCACTCACTTCCAGGGACAACTTGTATGCCAAGTTTCAGCGATGAAAGTTTATCAGGTTCTAGATGAAGGTAGAGACCTAAACTTGCAGGTGAAAAAAATATCTAATAAAACTCCAGCAGATCCTTAACTGACATCATAGTAGCAAGTGTCACTGGGAGGCTGCTTTTACAGTGTAGAGCTAGGGTCAGTTTTCCATCTTTTCCATGTCCTTTATTTCAGTTATGTGTTCTTTATAAAATGCCCTCCATGCTCAGGAATAAAGCAAAATAAGAGTTGTTTTAAATTTAACTCAAGGAGTGAAAGTAGTTGAAAAAATACAGTTAGTTTTTAGAAAAAACACTCAACCCGGGTAACACGATCTGCGTATTACTTTCATAATGAACCTAAATTTGCAGGTTAACATTTACACAAATGCATAAATAATTTAGGTGGAATGGCTAAGCTTCAGTCCCATTAAACTTAGGCTCCTAAGTGCCTAAACAGCCTGCAGGAATGGGATTCAAGCACTTCAGGAAATTTTACTCAAACCGTAATAGACCGCTTGCCTCCCCTTACGGCACGCTGCCCGCCGTGCCTTGCGAGTGCTCTTTGTGAGACAGTAATTCTGCAATGGAAGTAGCATTAAGTATCCTTTTTTTACATTGTTTTATGTGTTTGCTATTGAGGTAGGCTCTCCCTCTCCTCTGTATGGACTGGGGGCATAACTGGAAATGGTGTATCCGACGGCGAAGTCCGAGAGAGCTCCCTAGGAAAATGCTAAGTGTGCGGTGCGAGGACGGCAGCGGAGCCCTGCAGCCTGCGGGAGCGATCCGCCGTGGGAGCGGAGCTCGGGGGACCTCAGGCTCCGTGCGGAGGGTCTCGCTGGGCGGTCGCCTCCGAGGTCTGTCTGAGCACTGTCCGCAGGAGCCGCCTCCTCCTCCTCCTCCCAAGCCCGCAGAGGTTTTTGCACGCCGTTGTTTCCTCCCGCCTTCACCCGCAGGGCGCGGGGAGTCGATTCCGGGGGCTCCTCCGACCCCCCGAAAACGCGACGGCCTTTCCGCCGCCTCCCGCTCTCCCCGTGCCCGCCGCCCGCCC